ACTATATACAGTCACTTATACAGTTCCACTATATACAGTTCCACTATATACAGTTCCACTATATACAGTTCCACTATATACAGTTCCACTATATACAGTTTCACTATATACAGTCACTTACACAGTTCCACTATATACAGTCACTTATACAGTTCCACTGTATACAGTTCCACTATATACAGTTCCACTATATACAGTTCCACTATATACAGTTTCACTATATACAGTCACTTACGCAGTTCCACTATAATTTTATGGTCATAGGCCTGGTGGAATTCGTCGCAAGAGGCCTACCCTGACTACTACTACTACTACTACTACTACTACCCCGGCCCCTGACGACTATGAGTACTATTACGACTATCCTGAGGGTAGTGAGGCTACTGCTGCAGCTCCTGGACCCTCCAGAACCACTCTACCCATTTAAGCTCATGGGCCTATAGACTAGGCCTCTTGAACTACTGTTTCTGTTTTGATCTAGCCTATAACCCTATAGCATAGGCCTCTAGTAGTACTATCCCCTTCAGGCTTATTCTATAGGCCTTTAGACTAGGCCTCTAGATGTGCTATTCCCATTTTGACATAGTGTATAGGCCTATAGACTAGGCCTCTAGTAGGACTACACTCATTTAGACCTAGACTATAGGCCTATAGACTAGTCCTCTAGAAGTACTATTCCCATTTAGACCTAGACTATAGGCCTATAGACTAGGCCTCTAAAGTACTATTCCATTTAGACCTAGACTATAGGCCTATAAACTTGGCCTCTAGAATTACTATTTCCATTTAGTCCTAGACTATAGGCCTACAGACAGTCGCAGGTCTAGAGGCCTATAGACTAGAACTCTGGGCATAGAGACTAGGTCTCCAGAACTGTCACCATTTAGACTTAGTCTGTAGGCCTATAGAACTATTTCTATTTAGACCTAGACTATAGGCCTAAAGACGAGGCCTCTAGAAGTACTATCCCCATTTAGACCTAATCTATAGGCCTATAGAACTACTATTCCCATTTAGGCCTAGACTATAGGCCTAAAGACGAGGCCTCTAGAAGTACTATTCCCATTTAGGCCTAGTCTATAGACATATAGGCCTATTAAGGAAGCCTATGCTCTACGATAGTCAATAGGCTTTGGGAGAGGAAAAATTCCAACATTTCTATAGGCCTATGTTCCAAAAATACTGTATCATTAATTTGTAAAGCAATAAACGCTAAATTCCGGCCTACATACACGAGAAAACGTCCTTATTGATCAAATATTTTGATAAAAATAAAACCATTTTCAATTTATAATTTTTTTGGGGTTATTGGCCTATTTTTTAATGAATTATATAGGCCTGTTTTTTAAAGAATTATATAAGCCTATTTTAAGAATGATATAGGCTTTTAAGAATTATATAGACCTATTATTTAATTATATAGGCCTATTTCTTTTAAAAATTATGTAGGCCTATTTTTAAGAATTACTTAGGTCTAATTTTCAATTGATTTTTAAAGGCCTATTTTTTTAAATTATAAACGCCAATTTTCAAGAATTATATAGGCCTTCTTTAAGAATTATATTGGCTTATTTTTTAATTATGTATGCTTAAATTTTAAAAATTATATAGGCCTGTTTATAAGAATTATATAGGCATATTTTGAAAGAATTATATACTCCGGTTTCAGAGTCTTTTATAGGCTTATTTTTTATAGAATTGATAGGCCTATTTTTAAAGAATTATGTTTGCCTAATTTTAACATGTAGACCTATTTTTTTAATTTTTGTATGCCTATTTTTAAGAAACATACAGGCCTATTTTTTAAAGAACTATATAAGCCTATTTTTAAGAATTATATAGGCCTATTTTTTAAATATATAGGCCTATATGAAGCTCCATTTTTATGTAAATATGGAAAAAAAATCTATAGGCCTAGTTATTGTAATAGGTCTATTAGGCAGGACAGTGACAGGTGTATATAAGTCACTGTCTTATATAGGACAGTGACAGGTGTATATAACAGTCACTGTCTTATATAGGACAGTGACAGGTGTATATAACAGTCACTGTCTTATAAAGGACAGTGACAGGTGTATATAACAGTCACTGTCTTATATAGGACAGTGACAGGTGTATATAACAGTCACTGTCTTATAAAGGACAGTGACAGGTGTATATAACAGTCACTGTCTTATATAGGACAGTGACAGGTGTATATAACAGTCACTGTCTTATATAGGACAGTGACAGATGTATATAACAGTCACTGTCTTATATAGGACAGTGACAGGTGTATATAACAGTCACTGTCTTATATACGACAGTGACAGTTGTATATAACATCACTGTCTTATATAGGACAGTGACAGTGTATATAACAGTCACTGTCTTATATAGGACAGTGACAGGTATATATAACAGTCCTGTCTATATAGACAGTGACAGATGTATATAACAGTCACTGTCTTATATAGGACAGTGACAGGTATAACAGTCACTGTCTTATATAGGACAGTGACAGGTATAACAGTCACTGTCTTATACAGGACAGTGACAGGTATAACAGTCACTGTCTTATACAGGACAGTGACAGGTATAACAGTCACTGTCTTATATAGGACAGTGACAGGTGTATAACAGTCACTGTCTTATATAGGACAGTGACAGATGTATATAACAGTCACTGTCTTATATAGGACAGTGACAGATGTATATAACAGTCACTGTTTTATATAGGACAGTGACAGATGTATATAACAGTCACTGTCTTATATAGGACAGTGACAGGTGTATAACAGTCACTGTCTTATATAGGACAGTGACAGATGTATATAACAGTCACTGTCTTATATAGGACAGTGACAGATGTATATAACAGTCACTGTCTTATAAGGACAGTGACAGGTGTATAACAGTCACTGTCTTATAAGGACAGTGACAGGATGTATATAACAGTCACTGTCTTATATAGGACAGTGACAGGTGTATAACAGTCACTGTCTTATATAGGACAGTGACAGGTGTATATAACAGTCACTGTCTTATAAAGGACAGTGACAGGTATAACAGTCACTGTCTTATACAGGACAGTGACAGGTGTATATAACAGTCACTGTCTTATACAGGACAGTGACAGGTATAACAGTCACTGTCTTATACAGGACAGTGACAGGTGTGTATAACAGTCACTGTCTTATAAAGGACAGTGACAGGTGTATATAACAGTCACTGTCTTATATAGGACAGTGACAGGTGTATATAACAGTCACTGTCTTATAAAGGACAGTGACAGGTATAACAGTCACTGTCTTATATAGGACAGTGACAGATGTATATAACAGTCACTGTCTTATAAAGGACAGTGACAGGTTATAAACAGTCACTGTCTTATATAGGACAGTGACAGTGTATAACAGTCACTGTCTTATATAGGACAGTGACAGATGTATATAACAGTCACTGTCTTATATAGGACAGTGACAGGTATAACAGTCACTGTCTTTATAGGCAGTGACAGGTGTGATAACAGTCACTGTTCTTATACAGGACAGTGACAGGTTATATAACAGTCACTGTCTTATAAAGGACAGTGACAGGTGTATATTAACATCACGTCTTATAAAGGACAGTGACAGGTGTATATAACAGTCACTGTCTATAAAGGACAGTGAGGTTATAAACAGTCACTGTCTTATAAAGGACAGTGACAGGTGTATATAACAGTCACTGTCTTATAAAGGAGTGACAGGTGTATATAACAGGCCACTGTCTTATGGACAATGACAGGTGTATATAACAGTCACTGCTATATGGACAGTGACAGGTATAACAGTCACTGTCTTATAGACAGTGACAGGTGTTAATATACAGTCACTGTCTTATAGGACAGTGACAGGTATAACAGTCACTGTCTTTATAGACAGGACAGGTTAACAGTCACTGTCTTATAGGACATGACAGTTAAACAGTCACTGTCTTATTAGGACAGTGACAGGTATAACAGTCACTGTCTTATATAGGACAGTGACAGGTATAACAGTCACTGTCTTATTAGGACAGTGACAGGTATAAACAGTCACTGTCTTATATAGGACAGTGACAGGTGTTTATAAGTCACTGTCTTATACAAGACAGTGACGTTGTTTTTAAACAGTCACTGTCTTATTAGGACAGTGACAGTTGTATTAACAGCCCACTTTTTATAAACAGTGCACCATATAACATTCATTTTCGTCACTAAAAAATACTCCCATTTGTTGCGCATCATCATCTCACAAAACCCCCCGGGAAACACACCAAAATTTTTAAAACCTTTATACCCCAAATAAAAACTTTTAATAAACCTTTTTAAAAAGGATAAATTTAACTTTTTATAATTTATATTTACCTACCCCTTATACCCCCCCCTCCCATTTCATACCATTTAAAATTTCTACATTTCATTACCATTATATTCTGTCCGCGGGGGTCAGAGGCCTAATGATAAAACGTTCTAGCGGGTTCTAGGCCCTAATTGATGATAAAAACCTCCCCGGGCTGTTCTAGGCTGGTTTATAATAAAACCTTGTACCAGGTTTCCCCCCATTTTGATATGGGGACCTGTCAGAGGCTCAATGGCCCCCCTACTGTTGTAAGACACCCCCTTGTGGTTTCGTGGCCTAGTGGATGATAAAACCCTGTCTGGGCATGGTTCATAGGCTACGCCATAAATTAAAACCCTGTTAGCATGGTTCGTAGGTCTATTTGTGATAGAGCCTCCCGGGATGATTCAGTAGGCATAGTGTGCAGCATGGTTCAGGGGCCCAGTGTGATGTAGGACCTGTCAGTAGGTCAATAGGCCTACGTGGTATAAGACATCCCCTTATGGTTCGTAGGCCTGTGTGATGAAGAACCTGTCTAGCTGGTTCAGTGGGCCTATGCCATGATTAACCTGTCTAGCATGGTTCATTGGCCTTTTGATAATGAACTGCCTATAGGTTCAGTAGCCATGAGGAGGTAGAACCTGTTTTTCAAATTCAATGGCCTACTATGAAAGAACTTTTCTACCATGGTTCGGTGGCCATTGGACAACAAACCGTAGAAAGGTTCAAAAGGGCCCTATGGATGAAAAAACCTGTCTACCATTTTTCAATGGGGCCAAACTGTAAAGATAGAGCCTGCCTGCATAGATCAGTAGGCCCTTAATTTAGAGGCCTCCTAAATATTGACCTATCTGGGAACCTTACCGTTCTAGGCCTACTGTGATGAGAGAACCAGTCCATTATGGCCAGTGGCCTACTTGTGTACAACCGCCTAATTTTGCTGTAGGCTACTCTGGAAAAAAACCATTCAAGAAGGGTTTCACTAGGCCATAAGCAAATGGGTCCCCGGGGTTTTAATAACTTACACCTGCGTCATGTTCACCTGCGGTAAGTAGGTCCTGGGTTTTGTCACCTTACACCTGCTATCACTTTCCCCTGCGAAAGCAGGTACCTGGTGTAAGTCCCTTAAAACCCTGCTATCATGTTCACCTAGAAGTAAGTAGGTATGGGTGTAAGTCCTTACACCTGCTATCATGTTAAACCCCTAGCAGTAAGTGGGTTTTGGGTGTAGTACCTTAACCCCTGTATCACGTTCACCTAGCAGTAAGTAGGTACCGGGGTGTAAGTCACCTTACACCTGCTTTACTGTTAAATTAGCAGAAAGAGGTACCGGGTTTAAGTCCCCTTTACACCTGATCACTGTTCACCTAGCAGTAAGTGGTACTGGGTGTAAGTCCCCTTTACACCTGCGTCCTGTTCCCTAGCAGTAAGTAGGTACCTGGGGAAAGTCCCTTACCCCTGCTATAAATCCCTCACCTAGCGTAAGTAGGTACCGGGTGAAAGTCCCCTTAACCTGCTATCCTCCCTCCCCTAGCAGAAAGTAGGTACCGGGGTTAAAGTCACTTTACACTGCTATCACTGTTCACCTAGCAGTAAGTAGGTACCGGGTGTAAGTCACCTTACACCGCTATCAGTTCACCAAGCAGTAAGTGGCCCGGGGTGTAAGTAAATTACACCTGCTATCGTGTTCCCAGCGTAAGTGGTACCTGGGTAAAAAGTCACCTTACACCTGCTATACTGTTCACCTGCAGAAAAGTAGGTACCGGGGTTAGTCCCCTTTACACCTAATGTCACTGTTCCCCTAGCGTAAATAGGTACCGGGGTGTTGCCCTTACACCTGCTATCCTGTTACCTAGCAGAAAGTAGGTACCTGGGTTTGTCCCTACACCTGCTTCACTGTTCACCAGCGAAAGTAGGTACGGGTTTAGTCCCCTTTACACCTGCTATCAGTTTTCCCCTAGAGTAAGTAGGTCCCTGGTGTTAGTCACCTACACCTGCTTCACTGTTCCCCTAGCAGTAAGTGGTACTGGGTGTTAGTACCTTACACCTCTATCACTGTTCACCAACAGTAAGTGGTACCGGGGTGTTAGTCACCTTACCCTGCTACCCCACTTCACCTAGCAGTAAATGGTTTTCCGGGGTGTTGTCACCTTACACCTCTATCACTGTTCACCTAGCAAAAGTAGGTCCCGGGTGTTAGTCCCCTTACCCCCTGTATCACTGTTCCCCTAGCGCAAGTAGGTACCGGGGTGTTGTCACCTTACACTGCTATCAGTTTTTCACCTAGCATAAGTAGGTACCTGGGGTGTTATACCTTACACTGCTGTCACTGTTCACCTAGCAGAAAAGTGGGTACCGGGGGGTTTATCACCTTACACCTGCATCACTGTTCCCCGAGAAAGTAGGTACCTGGGTGTCACCTTACCCTACTGTGGTGTCCACAAGTCGACAATCTCTTCAGGACGCGTGTTTGACCTTAAGAGTCCTTGAAGACAAGAACCACACACACACACACACAAAACCACACACACACACCACCACACAAACCACACACCACACACACCACACAAAACCCCAACCCACACACAAACACACAATACAAAAACACAAAAACCACACACACACATACACACACAACAACACACACCACACACACACACACACACCACACGCTCACAAAAACACGCACACACACAACACACACACACACAACCACCATAACACACACACCAAAACACACACAACACACAAACACACACACGCACCCAAAACACAACACAACCACACAACCCACACACAAACACAGCACACAAAACAAAACACACACAACAACACACACCAACACCACACACACCACACACACAAAAGTAAGACAGGAAAAGGGGGGTGGGTTGATTGATTTTTTGGACTGCAAAAAAAGGCCTTTGACCGTTCCTCACAAGAGATTAGTGCAAAAGCTAGAGCATCAGGCGAAATTTAACGGAAGGGCACTGCAATGGATAGAGAATCCCTGACAGGGGGGCACAACGATCATGGTACGTAATGATGTATCACAGTGGGCCCCTGTGACGAGCGGGGTCCCACAGGGGTGGCCCTGGGCCAGTGCTTTTTTGGTATATGTGAACGACATGAGGGAAAGGTTTTGACTCAAAATTTCCCTGTTTGCAGATGAGTGAAGTTTGGGAGAATTTAATCTGATGGGACCAGGCAGGATTTCAAAGAGACCTGGACGACTGGACACCTGGCCCAGCAAATGGCTTCTCGAATTTAACCCTGCCAAAATGCAAAGTCATGAAATGGGGGGAAGGGCACAGGAACCACAGACAGAGTATAGGCTAGGTGGCCAAAGAATAAAACCCTCACTAAAGGGAAAAAGTTTGGGGGGGTGAGTTAACACCGAGCATGTCCCCAAAGAAACACATCTTTTAGAAAACTGCTGCAGCAATGGGGCCTGGCAAACCTGAGAACAGCTTTCCCCACACCTTAGTAAAATCTTCAAGACACGTACACCGTGTATGTCAGGCCCATACTGGAGTATGCGCCCCTTTTGGGAACCCGCACTTGAAAGCACGTCAAAAAAAACTAAGAAATACAAAAGGTTTTGCAAAAAGGTTTTTCCAGAGCAAAGGGGGAATGCCCTATGAAGAAAGATTGGGGGGGAAAATGGGCCCTGACGACATGGGGGAAAGGGGGGTCAGGGGAGACATGAAACGCAAAAAAAAAATACTGCGTGGAATAGACAAGGTGGACAAGGACAGATTTTCCCCGGGGGAGGGGACACGAAAAAAGAGGCCAAAATTGGAAGTTAAAAGAACAAATGGTCAGAGAGTAGTGGAAGTATTTCTTCAGTCATAGAGTTGTAAGGCAGTGGAATAGCTAGAAAAATGCGTAGTGGAGGCAGAACCTACACAGTTTTAAGACGAGGTTTGATAAAGCTCTGGAGGGGGAGGAGGGGGGTTAGTAGCCCCCGGTGAAGAGGCGGGGCCAGGAGCTAGGACTCGACCCCGCAACCAAAAATAGGTGAGTACAAATAGGTGAGTCCACCACAACACCCCCAACGCACCCCAAAACACACACAACACACACACACACACACAAACACACACAAAAAACACACAACCGCACACACAACAACACCCCCCAACCACACACAACACACACACACAACCACACACACCACCACCAAACACCACACACACACAACCCACAACACCACAACACACCCCCACACACACACACCCACACACACACACAAACACACAAAACCACACCCGCACACAAAAACAACACACACACACACACTACAGACACGCAACACCACCACACACACACACACACACACACACACAACCACACCAACACACAACACACACACACACACACAGGGAGATTGACTGGGAAAAACCGGGACCCCAATAGGGGTCCCAAACATGGGAGCCAGGGATGCTGGATGTTGCTGGAAAACCTCATGCCCCAACATTTTTAAGGACATCCAGAGTGAGGGGGGAGGTGACCAGCAGATTGGCCCTGTGTTCACCCTGGGCAGCCAGCTTTGAGGACATAAGTATGAGAGTCCCTAGGAGTACGGCACGTGGTTCTGTGCTTTGAATCATGGGCTGAAAGTGGAAGAGTAACAGGACTTGAATGGGAAACCCTGACAAAAAAAGGGGGATACATGGTTGAAGAATTCCTGCGGGGGGGTCCAGTGGGACAGAAAATGGCAGGAAAGCCATAAATAAAATGGGGTTGTAACAACAAATGCAAGGAGGCAGTGGAAATTTATTCCCGGGGAAAACAAAACAAGGGGAAAGACCAGAAGGGCCCCTGGTTTACCCGACGGTGTAAGGAGGCAAAAAAAAAGTGCAAAAGAGAATGGAAAAGTAAGAAGGGGAGAGAACACACGAAAAAAGGGAGATAGTGCGAGCCCGGAACAAGTACGCCAGGTAAGGAGGGGGGCCAGCGACAGTATGAAAATGACATGCACGAGAATCAAGACTGACCGAAAATGTTTTGCCCATCGGAGGAAGACAAAAGTCAAAGACCAGGTATAGATTTAAGGAAAAGGGGGAGAAAACTCACAAGAAATGTCAGGGGGTTTTGTAGGAGCTGACAGGAGATTTAAGGAGTTTTTACGTAGAGACGGAAGGGCTGTGGGAAACGCACGAAGGGAACATCAAAAGGGAATTACCAACAAGGTTGGTGACAAGAATACCCGGGGGGGTGAAAAAGCTCCTAAATGACCTTGACACCTCAAAGCGATGGGACCGGCAACATCTCCCCCTGGGGCCTTTTGAGAAGGAGCAGAGTGCTGTGCGTGCCTTAACCACAATCTTTAAACATCCCCTTTAAATGGGAACTACCTGAGAAATGGAAGACAGCTAATGTGTCCCCAAATTTTTAAAAAAGGAAAAAAGAAACGAGGACTAAACTTTGACCCGTTCCGAATTTTGTGGGGCAAAGTCTGGGAAGATTTTCAGGGGGAGAGTGGTCGAACCCTGGGAAAGGGAAAAAGTTTAAAGAAAACCACATGGGTTCATGGAAGGCAAAAAAGTGTATCAAAACCTCCCGGAGCTTTGGAAGATAACTGAATAAGACACAAGAGAGGGGGTGGGGGGGATTTGGGTTTTTCCCAGACGCAGGAAGGCCTTTGACACGTTCCCCCAAAAATTGTGCGAAGCGGGGATC